TTTGTTACTGATTCTTTATCTTCATCTCTCTTGGATTTCAGGTGTATGAACTTGAGGAGCAAAGACACAACAAACCTTGTTCCAAGAGTTCCAGATATCAGGGCGTTTGAAAGTGAGATAGCAAGACAGAGAAAAAAAGCAGAGCAACAGACTCACTTACAGAGGTTGGATACCGATATGGAAGACCCACCACAAGGAGTTAACAACCATGTCCCACCCGGGCCAGTGCACCCACATCGACCAGCTCGACCTATTGGCACCTACGACCGCCCAGACCTTCATGGAAATAGGTTGGGAATCCGAGCACCAGTTGTGGATGACAACAACTTTGAGGTCAAACCAGGACTCCTCAACGTGATCGAGAAAAACAAGTATCATGGCTTACATGTAGAAGACCCATTTGATCACTTTGGCAAGTTTGACAGCTACTGTGGGTTGTCAAAAACCAATGGTGTGTCTGAGAATGCCTTCATCCACAAGCTATTCCTCTTCTCTTTGGGGGATAAGGCACATCAGTGGAAGAAGTCTCTACCCAGCAACTGCATCACCACCTGGGATGACTGCAAGAGAGCATTCTTGGAGAAATTCTTCTCTACTTCAAGAACTGCTAAGCTAAGGAATAAGATCTCCAGTTTTCAACAGAAGAACTTGGACACATACTAGAGTGCAAAATGCAACAGAAGAACTTGGACACATACTGGAGTACCCTTGGAGTTCTTGGAGGTGATTGGAGTTTTGCAACTTAGAATAAGATCTCCAGTTTTCAACAGAAGAACTTGGACACATACTAGAGTGCAAGATCTTGAGATGTGTCTAAGTGCGATCGAATAATCAAATGGTTTTAAAGTATGACTAATACTAGAGTGCAAAAACAGAATAAGAAAAGCAATAATTAAAATGACTTCTTTTGATTAAGCGAAGGGAGAACACATGGGAGTAGGGATTGGACCTTGGGTGATCAAACTTTGAACTAAGGAAGGCAAATGATCAATTAAACTATTAACCTTAAGCCTAGACACATCGCTAAGCAATCTCTATATCTACACACAAATCTTCTAGTGTTCTGTAGTACTAAAACGACCCTACACAAAAATACCATAACAGGAACGGGCCTGCACAACCTTAGTACACTTTCAAAAAGACCTCATTCCTTGCGTAGAGGCCTCGAGCCGAAAATATACGCAGGGACCACACGTACTAGTGCAATAAACCTTGCATTAAAAACTCTCCCCAAGCTAGATACAATGCAGGGGCATGACGTATAACTGCAGAGTACTTAAATCAACACCTTGATTCAGGGAGCTGACAATGCACAAAACCCTGTGAGAACTTATATTCTATTTATCCAGACGTGGATAGCAAATATGGCACGTGGATCACTGCTTCCAGTAGACCTACACCAGAACCAAAATCTAAGATTGAGTGTGGCTTTCTGCAGAAAGTAAAATACAACATAACAGGATCTCGATAGTTGTAGATCCTAAAATCCACACTAAATATTTTGTAGTGATCAAAAATTTAATCTGAAAAAGACAAATGATGTAGGCGACGATGTTCTTTTACTTCATAAAGAGGTAAAAGTAACTGACTTTACCTTTCTATATATATGTCCATTTGCGTACAGAAAAATAATAAGATGAGTTTAACTCTTACTTCTTCTTCTCATTTTTCACATACACAAAGAACTGTAATCTGATCACTCTCTTTATGTTTCTTTGTTTACTAGATATATATATTAATTATAATAAACACAAATATCAAATATAAACTTAGTCTCATCATATAATTGACAACACTTAGAAATTTTTTGGTTTAGATTTTTATCTTAAAAAAAAATGAAAATTTGATTGATTGGTATATATGTTTATAGACTAAATTTTAGTTGTCTAGAACATCTATAACTCCAACCAGTTACCCTTTTATTAGAGGCGGATGTCAGAACATAATCAACATAATCAACAGACATACTATTTTTTTTTATTATGTTTAATTTTGGAGTTGGAACTATTCATAAGCTTTATAACACTTGCTTAAGAAGAACTGAAAAATCAGTTGGAACAAGTGAGCCCAGTAAGCTTGTCTCTACGTCTGCTCATTATAATAGACTAGTTGCATACTCCCCGCACAAGCGCGGAGCCGGGATCATTATGTTTGCGTGTATTTTTTTCGATTGTTGGTTTAGTGGATTCTTCTAATGACACCAAATAATAATGAAATGGAAAATTTCATGTTTTTATATCGTATGTCAAAACTTGATATAATTCTATATTTACAGTATATATATTTGTATTAAACGATTTATCAATTTGAAAATAACCTTAATTAAGTTAGTATTTGTTGTTTAAGTTTCATTAGATAGGTTTTTATATATGGTTTTTTGTAAGTTTGGGTTTTGTTCATAAATGATGTGACATTTTTATCTACGGAGTCATCGACTGTGGGAATCCATTCGCCGAAGTCTGGAGTCGGTGGTGAGAAATGTTTTCAATGAAATTATAGTAGTTATTAAAATGTAAGAGAAATTACATATTCATTTAATAAATAACTAAAAATACTTAAATTTTGTTGTTTATTTTATTTTATTTCACATACAATTTTTTTTTGAAAAATATTAGGAATGTGTTAAATGTTATTTATATGCGAAGTAAGGTTTATAGGAATATTTAGGCTATAATATAGTTTTTAGTGTGTAAAAGTAGGTATTTTTTTGCTGTAAATAGTTTTTATATCGTAGATCAAAACTTGATATAATTCTATATTTATAGTATTTATATTTGTATTAAAAGATTTATCAATTTAAAAATAACCTTAATTAATTTAATATTCGTTGTTTAAGTTTCATTAGATAGGTTTTTATATATGGTTTTTTGTAAGTTTGAGTTTTGTTCATAAATGATGTGGCATTTTTATCTACGGCGTCATCGACTGTGGGAATCCATTCGCCGGAGTCTGGAATCGGTGGTGAGGAATGTTTTCAATAAAATTATAGTAGTTATTAAAATGTAAGAGAAATTACATATTCATTTAATAAATAACGAAAATAATTATTTTTTTGTTTTTTTTATTTTATCTCACATACAATTTTTTTGAAAATATATATTAGGAAATATGTGCAATGATTTAACTTTTTGAGCTCCTAATCTAGATTATTCAAGCCTCATTAAACCATCCATGTAGGCACCCGCGTGGAATTCACTTTTTTTTTTGGTCTGTTCGTTTTTGGATTTATTTTTTTATTATTTTTGAGCTGAGCAATATTATAATAAGATAGTTTTAAGGTTCTTTAAGCCATCCGCGTAGGCAATCGCGTGAGACTTGGGTTTTTTTTTTCATTGTTCGTTTCAGATTCATTTTTAACTATTTGGGTTTAAACTTGTTAAGATTTAGGATTTATCCAACTATTTTGATCTTTAAAACAATAAGCCAAAAAAAACATAAAAACCTTATAAACAGAAAGCCCATATGATAATAACCCAAAATTAAAAAAAAAAATCAAAAAAACATGATAGCTGCGTGGTTTGAACTCACAATCTTGCATACTTAATTAAACACATTATACCACTTGGCTAAAGTGTATTTCATTGTTTGTAATCATCTTATCAAGACTTTGAGTGTTTGAAAAATATCTACGGGACCCACAAAACTGCTGACGTGGCGCGCTGTGGAGCTTAGAAAGTCTACTATTATAATATAGATTTATATCAATAACTTGCAAAATAATAAAGCGTTAGAAAATTGAATTCAAAGCCAATATATTTTCACTTTAAATTTTAGAGATGTAGCTTTAAACTTTTTTTTTGTTATGGCATTTCCAACCTAACTTCATATTTTACTTCAAAATAGAGTAAAAAGGATTATGAAATAAAAAATGTTCTAATCTCACTCTATTTCTCACTCTGTAATGAAATCTATTCTATAAATATTTTTTTTTTTGTTTATTTGTTCATTTCTCCATTATGAAATTAAAAATATAGTGAGGTTGGAACATTTTTACTGTATAATACACTTTTACTCTATTTTTAAAATAGAACTAGATTTTGACCCGCGCAACCGCGCGGGTGTTTGTTTTCGTTTATAGTTAGTTATATAAACATTTTGTTTTCACTTGTAAATTGGTATATATTATAGTAATCACATATTAACGATATGTATAGTAAATGTTTTTCAAAACATAATAATATTATATAATACGTGTTTTAATCAAATAGTTTGTTTCTAATTTTCTATATTACACATGTTTTCAAACATGTGTTTGTTTTTTCTTCTACATTTTATTGTTTGTTAGATTAATATTTCATTTTTAGATAAAGTAATATAAATAAAGCTTGATTAAATCTTAGTATACTTTATTTTGCAAAGATAATATAAACTTCAAATAAATATTTGTTAAAAACTAAACTTATAGCCTCATAAATTAATATTATAAACAATTTTATTAAAAAGAAATTTTGTAAGCAATTTATTTTTTTAAAATAATATAATTTTAAAATTTTACATCGAAATAAATTTATCTAGTATATATAGCGTGTAAATTTNGTAAATTTTTTTAGGGTATATAAATATTCCATATTACGAATCTATGATTTTGTTAATATATTGTAGATGCATTTAACTATTATTGACATATTTCCTTATAAATAATAGTAGATTCCTAAACTTATATCTATTAACATATTTTGTGTGACTAAGTTGGAAGGTGTGGGGTAATTTACCAAAACCAAATTGTTAAACATATCTTTGTTATTATAGATATGATTTTTCATAAGATATAATAATGATAAGATTATTAGAGAGTTAATGTAACATGACTTTCTAGTAATAGTCCATTTTTAAAAAAATCACACATGAAATCAAGTCATGACTTCTGTTTTAATATATAAGATATGGAATTTTATATTAGAGATGATCTTATCACGATTAGAATGGCCTGGAAAAGAGATGTGGAAAGTACTTAACCGAAACCGAGATAGGTGGGCCGGGTAAAAGATCCAGAAACCGCCCAGATCACTTAACCAAGTTACGAGGGACGAAGACAAACGCAAGGAGAGAGATGGACGAGGAGAGGATTCTAGAGAGAGAGAGGGTTCAGATGGAGCAGATTCGGGAGCTTGATTTCGAGGAGTTGCAAGTTGAGGAAGTCGATGATTTTCGAGATTCCGACGACGACGAAGATGATGATCTCGCCGCATTTCGCGCCACCTCCCACCCTCGTCTCTCGTGAGAGCAATCTCTCTCTCTCTCTCTTATTTATGGTCTCACGATCATCTCTTACCTATTCTCTTAATGGCTAATACCGTTTGATTTGGCAGTGATGATATTGGTGGTGATGAACATATCTTCAACCCAGATGTTGCTTCTTTGCATACCTATCTTGGCGGTATGAGTTGTCTCTTTCCATACGGTGTTTTTTTTTTCTTTCACATTTGAGCTTACCTTTATTTATCAGAGGTTGAGGATACTCAAAACAGAACTGCTTTTGTGGATGGAGGCACAGTTTTGAAGATCCCTCTTTTCTATCTCGAAGGTGTTCTCTTCATTAATATGTTACAAAGTGTTTTAAAATTCACTAACACTGCTTCCTTGCTACTCTTCAGGAGTGGTTCTGTTTCCTGAGTCTACGCTTCCCCTTAGAATTATTCAGTCTAGTTTCTTGGCTGCTATTGATAGAGCTATGAACCAAACCAACGCTCCATGTACGATTGGTGTGGTACGTGGCTTAATCTTTTCCTCTTATTGTTTTGGGTTCTTTAATTCACATTTTCTTTTCTGCAAAACAAAAAAAGAAAAAAATTAATTGTTTTATCTTCAGATTCGTGTTTACAGAGAAGGTAATCAGTTCAAGTTTGCCAGTGTTGGGACAACCGCAGAGGTAAAACTTTCTTTCTTATTATTTCCTTTTTCTTTCAAATGATTGTTAGATGAAGCAAGTTCTTTCAGGTTTCACACTTTTGGTGTACTTTCATTTGGTTCTTATAGAGTGGTTTTCCTATCGCAATTTTAGTCTTATTTTCCAAACAGTATTAATTAATAGTTAGCACATCTTAGACTTCTTAGAACATCTGTTAACTGCAAAAACATTTCACATTCTAGAATATATGGTATTAAACTAAAACTGGAGTTTTGTAGTTGGAGCTGTGGAGTCATATAAGATTTGTTTTAGCACTACCAAAGTTGAAGAAAAAAATCATTTTACATTCGGAACCCTTGTTGGCCGATTGAATTCTTCTTACGTAAAGACTGTTCACTTATAAATTCTTTGTGCAATGTTTCTGGAACTATGGTTTAGACAGGGGTCTTATTCTAGCCGTGTCGCGGTTGTTTTATATCTTATCTTTGGGAGTAGTTTCGATCTTCTTCTTCTGGCTATGGAACTTACAATTCTCGCTGATAATTACAGATACGACAATACCGTCGACTTAGTGATGGCTCATTCAATGTTATTACTCGGGGACAGCAGCGGTTTCTCTTAAAGCGTCGTTGGACTGATGTTGAAGGATTCGTAAGGACATTCTCTCGTATATATACATAGGCACACTACTTCGTTACTAGTGAAATTGGGCTTGTTTATTGTAAAAGAAGCTTTCTTACGGGTAAATCATTTGTGCAGCCTTGCGGAGAAGTTCATATTGTTGAGGAAGATGTACCCTTGAGGACTCCCAGGGATGCTTTTGGGAAGCTGGTACCAATAAGCAACTTGAGAGCTCCCAGTCACTCGAGTACAATGACTTTATCTTTTAGAGATACCGATGAAATGTCAGTAGCAAATTCTGAAGAAAGTTTTGAAAGTGCTCTTTCTCCATCAGAAAAAAGACTTCATTATTCAGCAGTTGACTCAATAATGGATGACTGGACGAGCAGCGATGATGACGAAGTAGTCAGTGCATCTAATATCCAATCTAGTGGGTCTAATCCATTTAGCTCTAGGTCCGTTGGATGCTTAGCTTCTCGCCAAGATGATGAAAGGGAAGATGGGCAATCTGCTGATGGCAAAACTCCTGTTTCAAAAGGGAAATGTCAAAAGCAAAATATGCTGACGAGTTTCCGGAAAAATACTGATCTAAACCGATTCCGTATGGCCCCAAGAGCATTTTGGCCATTCTGGGTGTACCGGATGTACGACTCATATTATCTTGCTCAACGAGCAGCTGGTTAGTTCCTTATTTACTTAGACCGTTTTCTAATAGTAGCACAGATACAGATATTAAGAGTCTTCTAATGTCAACATAATATGCAGATCTGTGGAAGCAGATAGTTGGGGTTCCAAACATGGAGGCAATAGTGAATAAGCCAGATATTTTATCCTTTTTCATTGCTAGTAAAATCCCTGTCTCTGAGTCAATTAGACAAGAGCTCTTGGAGATTGACGGAGTCTCTTACAGATTGCAGAGAGAAATTGAATTGCTTGAGAGTTTTGATCGTGTTCGATGTAAACACTGTCAGGTACAACATGTGTGAGCATGGTGTCATCATTTCTGCTTCCTCTCCGTTGTGCATTTTGTTTACTGATACCTTTACATATTAATGCAGACTGTCATAGCAAGAAGAAGTGACATGTTGGTTATGTCTAGTGATGGTCCTCTAGGTGCCTACGTAAACCCCCATGGCTATGTGCATGAGATAATGACCTTTTACAAAGCAAATGACATAGCGATTAGCGGTAGAACTGTTAAAGAAGACAGCTGGTTTCCTGGGTAAGAAGCTTTTCGTAAATGTTTGTTTTTTATATCATAACCGTACATACTTTCTTCACTATACTTATCCCTTGTTTGGTACCTCAATACCTATTAAAAAGGTTTATCACTATTATTCGTACTTACGGGAGCTTCCGAGTTATATGATTTAAATGCTAGCTTTGGTTCAAAACAAGCTAAATTTACAGAGAATTAGCATTCAAACATCTGGTGAAATTTGTTTTAAGTAAACCCTTTAGATCAATTGGTCATAGGCAATAGGCTGATTTGTTTAGAGCGTCTCTCAAATCCATGGCTTCAAGTCTGCTTACCATTGTATGTATCTTAAATTGGCAACAGGTATGCATGGACGATTGCAAACTGTGCAACGTGTGAAACCCAGCTGGGTTGGCTTTTCACAGCAACAAGCAAGAAGTTGAAGCCATCGTCTTTCTGGGCAGTTCGTAGCTCACAGGTCGCAGATGACATGCGCTGAGTATTACAACAGGTCTCACTCACGGATCAATTCCCTACCAAATAAAGGGTTTCTTTCTACCTTAAACTTCTCCAACTGGTATTTTTAGCATCCTTTATGCAGATGAAATATCACAAAATAGTTTGTGAAAGCAGAAGCAGACTAGAGTATAGAGATTCTAAAGTAGTAACAACATCTTGAGAGTTTGATGTCTTTTTTAACAATATGCATTAATGCATACATACGTTATATTTGTACACATGAAAATAAGATGTGTGTGAAGGAAACCTGCTTAGGCTATGAGTATAATGATATTTTTAGGTTTAACCCTTCTCAAGTACTGGAATCTAGAATCTCTTATGGACTTTCGGACCTTGAATTAATTTAAAACTTGGCGCTGGCGTTTTCATTACCCTGCTTTATAATGTGCATGCATACATATTTGTGCACATGAAAACAAGATAAGTGTGAAGGAAACCTAGTTAGGCTATTACTATAATGATATTGTTAGTTTTAACCCATCACAAGTACTGGAATCTAGAATCTTTATGGACTTTCTGACCTTGAATGAATTTAAAACGCACGTATTTTTGCGCTTGCGTTTTCTTTACGTGGCTCTACAATAGCGTTTAAGTTTTGTTAAAAAGCGTCACTCTTTGGATATATGATATATCCCACCCACAATGTATGTCATAATTTAAATAATGTTTTGATATAAAATTAGTTTACCAAAATTTGTGGTGATAGTTGTTTTTCATTAGTTTTTAGTTTCAGTTTTTATTTTTAGATTTTGTTTTAAATTTTAGTTTTTGGTTTTTAGTTTTTAAGTTTCTATTTTTGATTTTAAGCTTTTGGTTGGGATTTTAATTTTTAGACCCGCTGAGTTAGTTTGAACTGATATTACCAACAAACAAATCTCAATTAATCAAACATGTAATTTAAAACTAAAAAGATGACAAAATAATTTTCTAAAAATTTTGAAATAGTTTATTTTATAAATAAAAAAAGCAAAAAATATAACCTGCGTTTTCAGCTTTTGGTTTTGGATTTTACTTTTTAGATTTGGTTTTTGGTTTGCTTTATATATTTTTTTTTAAATCTATAAATTATTTAAGAAAAATAAAAAAAAATAAATTATTTAAAAGTTACCATTAAAATTTATCAAGATAGAGTGATTGTTATTTAAAATAAAAAATATTAACATGTTTTAAAGTATATGATTTAAATAAGTGATTAATAATAGATAATTTTGTTTTGTCGAAAATATTAAATATTTTTGGGCTAAAAAATATTAACATGTTTTAAAGTACATGATTTAAATAATTGATTAATAATAGATAATTTTGTTTTGTTAAAAATATTAAATATTTTGGCCCTGAAATAAGTAATTGATTTTTGATCCATTAAGGTGGAAAGTTTATTTATTGTTTTTTGGAATTTTTCTTTAATACTAAACCCAAAAACCAAACAATTAAATGTCATAAAAACAAAAGTAAGCCCAAAATTCTATTCCATAAATAACCGCCGGTTTAATTTAAGTAATGCGATTCAATCAACTATATAACTTGTATTATTTGTAACACTCTAGAAACGGTCCAAATTTAAATGACAACTTGTATCAGTAGATAAAAAGAATGACTCTATTTTAATAGAATAGATGTTATTGAATCCCCTATATATAAATTAAATTAAAAACATTTTTATTTAATGTTTTCACATTACTTGTTACTTGGTACATGCAAAACAATTTTCAGTCAAACTTTACTTAGATGAGTTCACACTATTATTTTACGTTTTTTAAATATAAAACTTACATATGTGGTTTTACATAGAAAGAAAATTACAAAAAGTCACTATTACATTTAGACTTATTTTATTTTACTTAATTTATTTTAATAGAATATTATATTTTATGTGTTATTTTGAACCAAAATTGTCTTTATTTTTATATGTTTATCAACCATCTTTATATATTTTTACATACACGTAAAAGTGGACACGAATCAGATATCTGCGATTTTGGAGATATTCGTGATCCAATATGTTTTGTCTAAATAATCAACTATCCGATTCGTAGCCATTTAGATATATGGTATCTCGAAAAAATTATATTTTAACCGGTTTGATCCGTAAAATAAATAAAGAAATAAAAAATAAATAAAAACTAAAATAATAATTTTTTTACAATAAAAATAAATTTTTACTTTTTTGAATACTAATACTTAATTTAATAAATTTATTAAATAAAAGTATTGTAAAACTTATATAGAATATATTATTTGTATAACTTATATATATAGTTCATTAAATAAACATATAACGGATCAGATCTAATATTTGTTTTTTTTTTAATATTAGAGTTTAGATCCGTTTTTTACAAATATTGCATATTAGTATTTGTTTTTTCGTATAGTTACGGATATCAAAATTTTTTGTTCGAATCAAGTTAACTTATCTGTAAACATGTATCACGAGTATTGGGCGAACAGACTACAAAGGATGAATGAAAAGGCAAAGCGAAGTAGTTTAACTATGTCAGTCGCTAACATTTGCGAAGAAGTGCTGCAACAAAGCGAAAAGAAAGAACCCACATGAGACCTTGGAGCTGGCTATGTGTGATTATGTCAGAAAACAAGTTACATTTCCTGAGACCCTTTGCTTGATCAGCAACTTTCTGCTTGATTCCTCGTAACCAAAATATTGGCGCAAGGAGGAGCATAACAGAAACCACAAGACGAAACATTGAAGGCAGCTTTACCAAAACTAGAAACATCTCTATTTCTTACTGCACCAAATAGTTCCATCTTCAATTTACTGCAACATACAATCAACCATGGATCTCCCATTAACTAAGATAAAAACATTATTAGATAGACGACAGTACTCTTTTATCTCAGAAATTTTAGTAGTTAAGTACATCTTCCATTCATCCTTGCTAAAATATCCTCCCTAGGCCCCATAGCATCATCACTGATCACAACTGTTGTTCATTCTCACTGAGTGGATGATGTATGATAAAAGCTAAATTGACTTGCATTCGTAAACAAAAACTAGAACTTCATGAAACAGTTCGACCGTAACAAATAGACGAAATGTAAAGATTCTTGCCCCATTTTTCCTGCAGAAAGAAAAGACAATAAGTTACACCCAACGAAGATTAGAAAGCCAAAAAAAAAGATAGATAATGAAATAAGAGACAGCAGCAAGCAAACAAACCTTGACATGATTACTTGGAAAAGCAGAAGTTCTAAGAGTCTCCTGTGTCTCATCACTAGGCTTCCTTCTTGGCACACTAAGAACAAAGGCAGACTGATCACAAGTTCCAGCAATTGATGTAATTCGGTAGCCATTTTCCCATCGACGATGTATACCTTCACTGGGGTACAGAAAATCTAGTTCTACAACCTGCATCACAAAAAAAAACCCATAAATTTCAAGTGATGTAGCATAAACTCAAAAACACACAAAATAGACAACACAAGACCTGGTCTGAAAAAGTAGCTCCACGAGACATAACGATCCCCCATTTGCTTCCAGCAGTTGCCATTGATGTGACATAAAATCCTTCCCTCCACTTTTTATTTATCCACTTGAAGGGAAAAGAATCGCTGACTTTGTAGGATTGCTGTAGATACGAAGTCCCTGAATACAAAGGATGTAAACTATGAGACAGAGATAAATTGCAAAAGCAACTCTGTTACGCTTGCATTTGAAAAGGATAGAAACAACTTTTACCTTTCGACATAACCACAAATGAGCTTCCATTGTTTGCTCCAGCTACTGCTGTGATGTAGTAATTTTTTTCCCATTGTTCCATAATCCATTCCTACCAAAAATGCACAAGTTGGAGAATGTAACAAATGGAAACGAAAGCAACAGTGGCAGACATGAGAATTTTGGAACAATGAATGAAGCTACCTTGTGGAGAAAACTTGGTGATAGCTGGTAAACTTGGGCCGTACAGGCAGTTCCTGCATCCATGATTACAGCCCAGAGATTCGAGCAAGAAGCCACACTGCTGATAAATAGCCCATCATCATTTCCCTTTTCGATGTGCTGTGGGAGCCTTATATCAGCAACATTATAGTGATATCTACACAAAGATAAAAGACAAGTCAGCTACATGTTCATTTACGTACATTTCAACAACTATCAAGAATAATTCAAGATGGTACCTTTGCTTCATTGGTCTGTGAGCACTGTAGATGCTGATCCATTGTGTTGCTGGCATTCCCAATCTGACCTTCTTTGTTGGTTGTTCGTCCTCCTCATCCATTGTCAACCTCCCTCTCTTTTGACCCACTTGATGTACGAGCTTCACACCAAACAAAAAAAAGGTTAGGCATTCTAGATAGGATCTTAATAGCAGAACCTCAGTAAACATGTCATAAATGATAATCACCTTTTGTGCACCATCAGTATTTATTGGCCTAATGTCTGGGTTTGGTCCGACTATTCCATCGAAAAGGGAGATATACTTAGCATAGTCAGGCTCTTCATCAAACTTCAAATTGACCACATACTCAACAAATTCACGAAAAGGTTGGGGACAAAAGCAGCAAAGAGTTTCTGGGGAAGTAGCCATCTTCTTCTTGCAAACAAGGAAGCCTTTGTTCTCTCCCTAACAAGATACAAATGAACGTAAGGCAAGGAAAAAATGCTAAGAAAAGAAAAAATTAATTACTTTAGAGTCCCAACCTGGTACCCTTGCCATGGAAGCCTGCCTCGAAGAAGGAAAACAAGAGTGTAGGCAAGAGATTCCAGGTCATCCCTCCGACTACATGTTCTGCCAAGATGAGCGTGTACGCTAGCATAACGTACCGTTCCTCTGAGATTGAAAAAGCCAACACATTTAATAAGTAAAACAGATGATTGAAGTAAGTCCCTACAAAAAAACAATCATACGCTTTTTATTTCCTAGCTGAAGCAACTTACCTAAACACATCAGGACGCTGATCATATTCAACATGTTGCCCAGTAGCATTATCGCGCCATCTGATTGCTGCAGGGTCAACGGATTGGATAAGCAACACAAAGACAGCAAAGTACGCTCATTATTATAACCAAAAAATGTACCTAAGCCAAGGTCCACAAGGAAAAGTTTTTTCTCTTCAGGAGTTCCAGGAGGCCCAAGCAGAAAATTCTCCGGTTTAACATCACCATGCACATATCTGCCGGAAAAAGGAGCATTGATTAAAAGAAAGAAAGTTGCAGAAGCAGTACCACAGTCAGCAATAATGATAAGAAAGTTACCCCCTAGAATGCATCTTTTCCAAAATGGATATTGCCTCAATCGCGATGCATGCAACCATCTCTGTTGACATCCTGTAAATTATAGAATAAAAAGAGCTCCTCTAAGGAAAAAGATGTATATTTTATCAAGGGTTTATTTTAACAAAATCATTAGATGCCACAAAATAAAGTAAAATTTGATAGAATGCTCACGCTTGACTGGTGCTGTTCCAAACATCCCACAAGCTAGGCCCTAGTATATCCATAACCTGTATGAAAGATTAAAACAGTAATTAGTCACACACCCAAGTAGTTATGCAGTATGAACCAAATGCACTCTTGTTCAAACCTAGCTAAGATCAACATACCATTATGTAAAAATCGCCTTGCCGACCTTTATAATGAACTCGTGGCACACCATGACTGCCACCAAGTGCACTAGATAACAAACAGATAAAAAAGCATACATTAATTATCCCAAAACCACCAAGCAGAAGAATCCTTACAGCCAAATACAAGAAACAATAGAGCTCACTTGTAAACTTGCCACTCATGCGGTGGCCCATGGTTACATCCTTTGCTGCTTCTATGCTCAAACTTCAAAGCCACCTGCAGAAGAAGGCACATCAAACTTAAATACAAAACATATACTTAACCGAGAAGAAGCCTGTAGATTTAGAAACACAAAACAGCATACCTCCATAGCTCCGGGGCCAAATCTAGCATTAACAGTGGCTGGACCCATCTTTCGACCCACATAAACTTGTCCAAAACCTCCTTTGCCTAGCTTTCTATCTAACTTGTACATTGGGGAGCCACCAACCTGAATCTGCATACATAACCAAGGAGTTAAATCAAATTATCTTACAATCAGAAAGTCTTAAACTTTTGGGAGTTTCAGACATGCCCCAATCTAACAGATTTCTCCAATGCAAGGGACAATAGACCAAAAGGGCACTTTTAAAAGGCTCCCAATTGTGAAGAAAGGACATAAAGTTTAAACCTTTTCAGGAAGGGGAGGAGCGTTTCCGTCATCGTCAGGCATAGGTGCTTGACCACCACTGTTGAATTCACCCATCAGACCCTAACTTGTTCTTTCCCTCAGTCTTCACCAACGGCGTCGTTTCAATTGATCGCTTCCGTCTTTTCACTCCGCCGCAAAGCAATTGACTTTTTGATCTCTGCGTGAGTGGCTACGCAGCCTCAGGCGTCCATGGAATGGTGGAAGTCAGTGAAAAAGAACCATCGATGGATCTTTGCTCCAAGATAAGGAAGAGACAGAGAGCGATTAGAGATGTAATGGGAATTTTTTTTTGTTAGGGATTTTACTGACTTGGCGAACGAATCGATGGGAAACTAACCTCTTTGTGCTTTCCTTTAGCTAAAGGAATGTTTACTTATTTCCTCTCTATTATTATTATTATTATTATTTTGTTTCCTCTCCACACCTTTCAATTTATAGTTTTTTCACATTAGGGTAATAATTCACATTATGATTTCCATAATAAAACTTACGGAACTTACCAAAAAAAAAAAAAACTTACGGAATAATCTAATATGATTAAAAATATATATATTTAGTGATTTAAAAAATAAAGATTTGAGAACAATTTGAATATTTTTTATCATTTTTTATTTCTATATTAATAAAATAAATTCCACAATTACATTAATCAATAATAAAAATCTATATTTTTTTGTGTACGTTGTATTTCGAATTTTTTAAAACGAGTATAAATTACTAAAACTGTTAAAAATCTCACATAAGCTTTTATGATCTAGGTTTAAATTTTCTATATATTAAGATACAATTATTATAAGAGCATATGAAGAAATAATTTTTTTAAATAGGTTTTATGTTAATATATATATATATATATATATATATATATATATATATATATATATATATATTTCATATCGTTTAAATTAAACTATACCTTGTATGAAAGTACATACTAATATTTTGATATTTGCAAAAAAAAACATAAAATAAATAATAAATATCATAAAACTTATTAATTTTTTATTTCATAATATGCAAAAAAACATAAAATAAATAATAAATATCATAAAACTTATTCTGCAAAAAGTGCAGATCTTAACCTAAGTATGTATCTTTTATATTACATTAAATCTTAAGCATTATCTAAATCTTACGCCAAAACAAACAAACAAAATGAGAATAAACTTCAAAATCAATATTTATATCGAGTAATAAACAAAATGAAAAAAAAAACACAAAAAATTGAAGACAAATAGGATTGGCACATGAACGTAAATTTCTCATAACCATAACTAATTTTTAAACTGCTAGATCATGATATAAAACCGAGCTGGCTTAGTTTCATTGTAACCAAACAGATCCAAGATTTTTTGACCTAAATGTTAGGTTCTTTGCGGTAAGTGATATTTTGACCTAAAACATTTGTCAAAATGAGATCAGCTTATGAGTAAACAAATTATGTAATTAACAAAAAAGATAAAAATATTGTTTAAAAAAATATTAATTCAATCAAGAATACAGATTTATTTTTCATATAATATTTTTATATAATTTTTATACAAATTTAGTACATGGAGACTGAGATTATATGAATTTATAATTAACTAAATCTGAGTGAGTTGGAAGTGGATTTTAAAAGTCACTAAATTGGTATGTAAAGAATATGTTGATATAATAAATAAAAAAATTCAAACTTTTAATTCTTGTTCCAATTTATTAATACATTATATATTTTTACTTTTTTAGAAATTAAATATATATCAAAACTTTTCAAAAAAGCATCAGACTAGTACAATTACAATTAACCGGAAAATAGCAATAAGCTAGATTACATGAGATTACCTAAGATACATCTGTGAGTACAGGATTTGAGTATTCTTTTGTTTTTGTCATCAAACAAACATATTCATCATGTAGACTCTACGAACCAAACTGGTACCTCTGCATCCGTATGAAGGACAAAAGACGATTATTTCTTGGCACTGCGTGCTAGGCTATTCATCTGTGAATTATGCGTTCTTGGTACATAAATGTTCTCTGAGCTGCGAAAGTTATCTTTCAGCATCTTAATGTCCGCCAAATAAATTGCAAACGCCGGTCATTCCTCTGGTTCCAACATCATCTTTATCAGCTGAAAACAATATGTTGCAAAAGTGATCTAGTATTGACGCAAATTCCTCATGCCCAGATTAAAGCCTGAATATAAGGGCGAAAGGCTTGTCCTGACATTTCTTGCCCCCATTAATCTCTGATAGCCTTCTAGTGTGCTATACCAGTCTTGTCCAGAAAACTCTTCCAACTTTTCATGAATCATCCGTAAAAAGAAGCCAAAAATTATAGGATGTATCTTTTTAACATTTTGTAACATTCAAATATTCAAGAGTAGTGTAACAGAGAAACATCAGAAAATTATAGGATGTATCTAGCAATCGGGTTAGTCAATCAATTATTCTGAGTGATTTTGTCTTTCTTTTTTTGTTTTTTTTTTAAAAATGAAATGTTTACATAAATATTAATGAGTGGTATACCCTTGTAAATAATTCAAATAACTAATGGCAAATTCCTTTTTTAAATTTTGGTTTAATCCCTTGTATATATATATATATATATATATATATACTAGGGCAAGTCCGCGCTACACGCAGATTATTATTTTGTTTCTCTATCAATTTCTGATGTTTGGGATAGCTTTGTATGCATTAGAGCATGATTATTGCAAAAACCCATATTAGGGGTTCTTATTAATATTTAATGGTTTTAAGTACAAAAAATGACTTAGAAACAAAGTTAAGAAATCCCAACATTTAATTGCTCCATTGCAAGGTTTTTACAAAAACATCTAGGAGATCAAAAATATATGACAAACCTATTTTGCAATGAAAGTGTATTCTTCTTTGAAAAACCTTCATTTCTATTTTGCAATGAGACCAGTTTGAAGTCTTGAGCATTCACGCTCTTCATTCCTGTCTCTAAAACAGACTGCAAAAGAATCAAATAGATTTGTAAGACATAAACTTACAGCAATTCACCTTTGTTATAATATAAATGTATAACGCCAAATGATTGTTTCAAGTGTTCAATCTTGGAATCAAAAGTAGCAACAAAGAGCAATGCATTAACACGTTTTAGAAACCTCTCTGATGGAGCAAGTTTGATCACTGAGTCAGCATCATCACTATAGCTCTTCAACTTCCCCTCTTCCTCTTCACTCGGTGCACTCTTGATAAACTCTCAAGAAGCTCAACTCCAAGTGCTTCATAGTGACCTGATTCATAAGAAATACCAACCTCAGATTCAACTCAATACAAATAAATAAGCTTTGAAAAACTGATGATATGCCATCTCGAAGGGACTTGCAAACATCACTTGTGGTGAGATCAAGTGTTGATAGAAGAAAAGCAATACTCTGAGACTTTCTTGAATCCAAAACTCTACTTTCATGGCCTAAGCATCCTCAGAAATACATTGAGGAAGAGGAGAAAAAGCCGAACCTTTTAAAGACATTGTAATCTCGTGTCGAATGCTTGAGGAGAGACACTGGAGCTGCAACAAGCTAAGAATAATAAAGAATCCAAATTGAGTAAACTTCATAATAGGGTTGAAGATTCACAAACAAACCAATATGCATCCAAATAAGCTCAAGTAAGTCACATAAAAGAGAGAAATAAAAGCATACACGCTCAGACATATAACACCAACTCTGTGATAAATAAGACAAATTCAGAAACAAAGGAGTTGAGATTCGTTTGAACAATTATTGCGATTAGAAACTTCTACAACGACAGCTAGAAACAAAAAAAACTAAGGCCGGATCGATTCATTGGTAATCACCAGAAAAACACAGTCAACGAAACCAAGGAAGAGAGTTCTTAGCTAGCCTGATGAGGAAGAAGATAGACGCTAAAGAAGAGATAGTGGATGATTCTGATCTTCCAAGTATCGACAACTCTGGCTCAGATCCTCCACAAAAGGAAACCAATGGACAAACAATTTTCCAGACGGAGACAATTGCGATCCTCCACAAACGCTATCGTCGCCACAGAAGAGAGAAAACGAAGAGCTCGACAAAGACAAAATAACAAAAAAAAATTGGGAGATTTGCCCACACCCTGACATGTGTCCCTTTTTGGCTTAAGGATCACTCACGGAATCACCGATTAAGAATCGGTTTTAGCTTTTTCTTTTAGTTTTGATTTAATTAATTCATGTAATTTGTTAAAAACCTCTGTTTAGAAACCCCGATAATGTTGCTCTCAGTTACTGACAAGCTTTTGCAGTGACTTTTAGTGTTGTTAGTGTGCTAGGTTTAGAACCCGTCTCATTTCACTTAAAAGAATTTTTTTTTTCTTTTACATGGTGTAATCTTTATATCTTGTAGACTGTACATACAAAATGAAAGGTTAAAGCATATGTGTTCTGCAAATTTAATCTTTCTTTCTTTGTATGTTCACACACTTAATTTATTTAGTTTTTAACCATATTAAATCTTAATTTTTCAATAATATTTTTTTGTTTGTTACTTTTTTCTCATTTGATATTATTTTACAAATTAAATTTCAATTTAAAGTAGCACCTATTTTAAATCATAGTTTTATATAAATTCATGTGTGTTTTCTAATATTTAAACATTTAATATGCATATTTCACGGTGTTTTATAATATTTAAAAATATATTTATAGTTCTTTATTTATTAAGAAATGTATATACATGAAACTATATTTTTGGCTTATGACATTAGAGACTCTAACCACGGTGTGGGTATGTTGGTGTTGGGGTGTGAAGTGGTGGTTGTGTGTGGCAAAGTCAGTTTGTACAAGTATCAATTTGTGGTTGAGAGATGTCGTTTTTGTATGCATTTTGTTGTTCAAGTATTAGTGTGGTGGAGTTCTTTTTGTTTTGTTGAATATATGTGATAGTATTTCTAGAATTGTTGTTTTAAATATTTGTATGAGAAGATAGTGTGAGGTGTAAATCTTACAATCGTCGACTATTGGAGAAGCCGGTAACGTTGGCCCAAGACGAACCTTTCTAAGTGTTGTGTGACCTGTTTGTTGACGTGCAGATGAGCAAAATTTTGTAGCAAACATGTGTCCCACAGTTGAACATCTGTGTGTTTAGATTTTGTTAGGCAGGCAGCTTGACTTTTTGAAGCTATAAATTTTCCTAGCTTTACGTAGCTAGATCCTCAGCTAGTGAGCTAATTTTGCTGCATATTTAAAACTTTTAAGAGGTTCTTAACTTGAAGCGGGTGATTAAAATTAAGAACATGTGAGCCTGTGGATTCTAGCAGCTTATACGCTTCCAATGAAATGCACCTTTCTGAGCTGTTTCCTCTCATGTGCCAGTGGTGGTTGACCTCTCCTCATGTATCCATGGTCTTACTCCATA